TGTTATTTAATGTGTTTTCGGATTGTTCTGCTCATGAAACACTGGAAAAATATCTTTCCAAGAAATGTCAGTTGACAAAAAACTCCCGATAATGTAAGCTGTGGAAAATTGTAAGTAATCTAGCCGCTTTTTACAGCGGATGCCATTGGAAACACTTAGTCTATCCCTCACAGCCTCACTTTCATACCTGTCATGGCGCTGCTCTGAATATGGTCTATTGGAGAAGGTGCGGTGCCTGATGGTGAAAGACCTCGAGGACCCAAGACGATGTATCTGCTACATTAGATTTTTTTTCGATTATTATTATGGAGCGCTTCCAAAGTTGAAATTGAAAAATGCAAATTGTAGTCAATAGCAGGTGTAAACAAGACCTCTGTGTCTCCACAAGCCCAGAGAGAATGGGTGCTGATTGGAGGATTACCATGTGTGATTGTGTGTTTGTGTTTGTGTGTGTGTATGGGGGGGTAGTTTGGGCATGTTACTGTAACACAGACAAGTTTCTCACACTACGTTTGTGTTTGTGATAGATGACTGCAGTCTGCCATATAGCCCTGAGCTTTTTAGCCAGTTTAAACTGCTTATTTCTCTTTCCCAGTCTCCTCACTGCATGGGAAGACTGGCAACTGTTTGAGGAGAGATGGAAATAAACGATCACCCTAATACAGGGAATGAGTATATGACACATGTTTTCTGTGTAGTGATTTTGTCGTGATCCATTTCTTACTGTGAATCTGAGACGTGAATAAAGGCAAACCAAAACTGAGACAGACACTCCCTCTCATTAATCTTTATTTAGCGTCTTATAGTGATCTAGTAGGCCTAAAAGTTCTCTTGACACACACACACACACACACACACTGTGGGGGGACCTGGCGTGCTCTTGGGGGGATTATTTGTGGAGTTGCAGTGTGTATATGAGGGCAAATTCTCATGGGAACTGCAGAGATACTGGCCTGTTTTAACAAATACAGCTTGTTTACCACACAGGCTAATTACAGAGTAAGCCTGGTGTCGAAATGAGTGGGAATGCTGTATTGTGAAGGATATTTCCAGAAAATTGGATTTATGGAAGCATTAATGGAAGAGTTCACCCAAAAATGAAAATTCTGTCATTATTTTCTTACGTCATTCCCAAACACATATGTTGTGATTATATGGTGAATCTTCTCGTAAATCTTTTCTAAATATTCCGGGAACGTTCGGAACACCAACTAATGTTTACCGAAGCAAAAAAATGTTAGTATCAGCTGAAAGAGCTGCTTGAAGATGTTCCTACATGTTATAAGAGCATCCATTGCAATTGAGTTTTGCTGTAATTCCTGGAACGGAACTGTGTGGTACGATCTCGCATTTAATGTCGGAGTATCAAATCGTCAGACAGCTCCACACCCTATCATTAGTGTCTTTAAACAGATAAGACCCAGATGCTGCACATTCCTGGCATTATAAAAGAAACTTCACAGACTATAATACATGAATGTCAGAATGTCATTACATTTTATAGATGTGTTTGGAACATCCATGCAGTGGAGCAAGATTGCAGTAATGTCAAAGCAACATTTTTGCCTTTGACAATTTAAAAATTAAAATAACAATACACCCAATAACACGAAACACATTATTTCCTGCATGTTGTATGTATGCAGTTCTCTAGTAGCCTATGGGCTCTATGCACGGCGTTATTTCCGGTGAAGGATTAAGGATGCTCGATAACTTCCGCCGATCGTAGAGTCCAATGCAATGCCGAGAATTTATATTGAATTTTATACTCCATGGTTATACTAAAGAAACGTTAGTCACAAAAACAGATAAAACAGACACCCCTCGTTGTGTTTAAATGCTTGTTTTTAAAATTATATTAAATAAATATAACTATATATAAAATTACATCTAAACGTATGTACGTTTCATTTCAAAGACTGGAGGACAGTAAATTTTGAAGACTCTGCCATAATCCCGTTTTCCTCGGTTTTCCTCCGCTTTAATCTCCACAACCGGAAATGGACGAGCATCCTTGCGTCAAATGCGGAATTTATGCGTGCATATAGCCCATTCTCATCACTTTTTCAATCCTGTGATCGCTTTATATGAGGTTATACTATATGTGAGTTGCTCCCTCTGCTGGTGCTTTATAGGCGGTACATTGTTTTCTCAAACGAATATGTACTCTTTGACTGATTTTCTTTATGCCGCATGAAAAGTTAACCAATTAAAAGTGTCCTGTCATTCAAGAGTTTAAAGCATTTCTTGAAGGATCAGATCAGCTTTTAAGCCCCCCTTTAGTCAATAGGCCTAATTGTTTCCCTTGACACATCACACCCATGGCTGACTTACCATTGGGCTCCAAAAATGGATTTTATTGATACTGACTTCTTTTTATTTGGTCAGAATAGCTTTTTTAAATTTTGTGTAATATGTGCTACTCCATAATATGTTTGTAGAGGCTAGGTAAAGCCTTAACATAAACTCAAATCAAGGGGCCCAAAGCCCTGGGGTGCTTCTCATTTCTTATTTGTGCTTCCTCGTTTCCTTTCCTTGCTTCCTTTCCTTGCGTCTCAGCTCCACCCCCTGTAGGACGCGAGGGGAGGAAGCGAGGAAAGGAAAGGAGGACAGAGGAATCGAATAAAAGCTTTTTTATATACATTGGAGAACTTGATGACTCGAGCGTCACTCCACAGTGTCATCAGCAGCGCTAAAAGGATCTGCCCTTATGTTGTTAAAGTTTGGTAATTCATAATAAATAATAATAAAGATAGACTATACTGTTGAAATATCTGAGATGTGTGGTTTATATAAACTGCAAAGGTAAAGTATAAATTAAAATGATTGTGACCGATGTGAAGGGGGAGGAGAATTGACACGTGCGTCACGTTTAGTCAATAGGCTTGTTTGAGATGAGCAAATTCTGCGCAGAATCGATCACCGGTGATCAGCGCGAGATGCATGCCGGTTAGAAATGTGTCCGAGAACGGTCCGCCTGGCTCTGATGTCATGCCGACGTATGTCAAAAAACTCTCGCGAGCGCAAGGCGGAAGGGTCGGATTCTGCAGTCGCGCGCAGTTGCTCTCCACCGACTGCGCTGATCAAAAGCATGATGGGAAACGACTTGCTGACGACACAGCTTAATGCTCATTGGTTTAAACAACAGTGATGAAGGTAAATTCCATATTCATTAAGCAAAATTCTCCAAATCAAGGCCATGTTTTATTTATTTATTTATTTTTTCAAATTGAAACTGATATATATTGTGAATCTCTTAAACGGGTTAAAAATAAGAAAGCTATAGTCAGTAACTCAAATATACTAGGCCTATACTCTAAAATGTTCAAGTGAAAAATAGCTCTCATTTTATAGATGATGAAGTTTGTAAGTCTGTCTATTTAAGCTAAGCTTATTTTGATTTATTTATTTATTTTATTATTAATTTTTATTCTGATGTTTATATATTTGTTGCTGTATAGGCCTATTTGTTTCACGAATTGTGGTGCTTGTAGGTAGGCTATGTTTGTAACTTGCATTCTAATAAAAAAGTAAAATAAATAAAAATAAAAATAAAAGAACAAGAATTGTTCTCTTTTAAAATGTTTGATTTTAAAACTGATATCATGTTTTATGTGTATACATATGGGTGAATAAACTCTCTGACAGTGCCATATGGGTTATATTTCATTTTTGTTAAAACAATAGGCTATATAAAAACACGTCTTAAAGAAAAAAAAGATTGATAAACACATATTTGGAATGTAATTAAATAACAAGTACTTTGGGTGTCTTGTTCATTATATTTATTTTTATATAAAAGCAACAGAACTTAAATCACATCCAGTTTATTAGCAACACGTGCACGAGCGTGAATCCCGTTAATCCCGCGATATCCGCCTTTGATCTCACAGGTGTCTGATTCACTGCGAGAACCGAGATCTGTCCGGCTTTATTGCGCTTTTTTCACTCCTCCCCTCACTGCAGCCGCCTACTCTCGACTACATTGCAGGCGAGGCGAGGCGCATCTCAAACAAGCCTAAAATAACAGTTCCGCGTAGGATGCACCTGTGTATCCTCGCTTATGACTCCTCAGGAAGCCTCCTATCTCCTCGATCCTCGACTCCTCACGGTGCAATTAGAGAATTGAGATGTCCTTCAAGATGGCTGAGCTCGATCGGTTTCCGGGTCATAGGAGGGAGGACGGAGGAGCGAGGAGACGAGGAGGGATATTGAGAAGCACCCCTGCTCACATAAGCTCAGAGATTCACTCGTTGACCTGATTGGTTACAAAGTAGTTTGTGACGTCAGAAAAACCAGCGATTTCAAACCGCGTTTTTGAGACTGTCTTGGTTCACTGCAGTTTTGAGGAGAAAATACTCAGCAATGGTGTTGACTTATGAGGATTTGTCTTAAAGGATATTATAAAATAAACATTAAACCTTGATTTTAACCACATGGGGACTTTTAAGAAATGTCCGAAATTGCCCCCTTAAATAGGGCCTCTTTGAAGGAACAGCCATTAGTGAACATTATTCGAGTGCACTAATTCAATCCTGCGTCATGCATGCTAATGTTGGGAATAGTGAATTAGTAGGCTATAGGCTACAGGGGGTGATTTCAAACACAGCCTACATTTTGTTTGTAAAATAATCAAACCCAGTATTATAATAATAGTCACCTGTTCAGAAAATTTATTAATTTATCATTCTCCTGAAGTAGCTTTTTTTTTTTTGACAAATAATAGTGCAAACGCCCAAATGAGCGATAAAAGCAACTTCAGTAATGAAATGCTTCCTTGGAATATTACCTAAATCGATAGATTTTACATTACTGTTATAATGAAAACAACATTTCAATGCTTGCATTGCATTACCTTAATTCCCATAGGCAGTATTTATTTACGTGCAACAGGATATTTTCATACTCGTGTTTTTAGTCAGGACAGTTATCGGCTACCTAAGCCTCCATCGTCAGGACCCAAAATGGTGGCGCCGTGAAGCACAACGCTGAAGGTGAGTGATGTAAACATTTATTTATCACTTCATCGTCTGAGATATTTAATTTATCAACCAGCGTATTCACTTCTAAACATGTCAAAGTAATAAAATAGACAATATTATTGCTTAAGTGTATGAGAGAATTAATTCACACAGACGAAACCCGTCACTTTTTAACTGCAGTGAATGTGATGATGTCAACTGCTTACAACCGTCTCTTCCCACGGGTCTGGCATTAGTTTATTCATGTGTTTTTGTAAATCTATAGCCATGAGTAAGCTCCGGAGCTTTTGGGATAACTATAAAGTCTTGATTGTTATGGGCTCTGGCCTTGGCTTGGTTCACTGGGGTTGGTACTCGATCAAATCCAATCCACTGCTGAAGAAGAGCAGGGAGGAATATATCCCCGAGCCGGGCATCGTGTCGTTCATCGACCCGTCCCCGCCTCCACTGCCTCCTCTGCCCGAGAAGAGTCGAAAGAGAGAGAGCAAAGCCAAGGAGTAACTGCAGCTGCTGCTCGAGGTGGGAAAGGTTTTACTTTAACTGTCTTTCTGTCATTATTTACTCACCCTGAGAGGCGTTTCTGTCACTTCAACCTTGAGCTGTAACTGTCATTGTGCTGCAAAGATATTCTTCAAAGACTTTGTTTTCCATTCAAGTTATAAATGCATAGGGGGTTGGAAAGAAATGAGTGAGTAAATGATGACATAATTCATTTTAACTGGCTCATAGATAAGTGTACTGTTAACAGTCACTTGGGTTCATGCTCTAGTTGTTTACTGTACAAAATGAGAGCACACACACACATCTTTCCTCTTATGAAATGTGTGTGTTTAATCTTATCTGTGTAGATAACAGGATTTTCTTGATAATAACAGTTTTGGTCAAAGTGTACAGTGTATGATTTTTATGATGGCACTTCTTCTTTACTACTGGGCAACATTTTTATTAGGTGCACCTTGCTAGTACCAATTGGACCCACTTTTGCTCTCCATATTACCTTGACATCATCACACAGTTCCATTATGAGAGTTTAATGTTTCTCAAGATAACAACACCACTATTGATAAGCTTTTCTTTCCTAATATTCGCAGGTCCTGAGCTGCACCTCCCCTTGAGGACAGAGAAGATGAGAAACCAGAGCTGGCTTAGGAAAAACTGGATTTGGGTTGCCGGCGGTGCGTTTTCTGGCATCCATTTTAGCACATGGCTCCTACAGAAGGCGATGAAGAGTTCGGTGCGCACAGAACAGCAGATCAAAAGCAAGACGCCTTCAGAGGAGTGACGTGAAATTCTATATGCATTTGAGTGTTTACGTGTGGTTGTTGTCTGTCTGGTGACAAATGAAAATTAAACACTCTTGTTTCTGATATGGAAATCATTTGAAAGTAATTCAATTTTAATTCTAATCTATCGCCATGAAGCATTTAGTAAAGGGAAAACAATAGTGGTGCGTATCGACCACATTCAGAGAAATGCTTCATATCAGTGGACTTTGAATGATTCATGTTTGAGCACCAATGACACGTGACCGATGTCATAATCAATTATGACTGATGAATATTTTTATGACGGGTCCATGCTCAAATGTGAATATGTATATAAATGACCATTCTCCACTATGTACAGATGTAAACATGAGTTTTTATTGGTGTATTTAAAAATAATAAATACAAACCTTCAGAAATGTCCCCTTGGGTGATGTTTGTGTGTGTGAGCAGGACATGTGGTTCTTATTAAACTTGTTTTCATGAGAACTTTGTAGTTTTTCCCCTTTATAAAATGTTTATGGCCGCCACTGAGTGTTACAGCAGGAAAGGGATCACAGCCTTTCTTGATTTGGGGTAATCTTTAAATTTCTCCAAGTAATACCTGTGAGGAAGACAAGAAGGCATTTACTTTCAGGTTATCATAAGATAAAGACAAAAACCTATTATTATAATCCATTAATGTAACTTTGTGTGCTGGATTCTGAGATAGTTCACCCAAAAATGAAAATTCTGTCAGTATTTACTCACCCTCATGTTGTTCCAACCCCGTAAGACCTTCATCTTCAGAACACGAATTAAGATATTTTTGATGAAATCTGAGAGCTGGATCACTCCTCCATACTAGTCCATAGGCTTCTTGAGGGATTGAAACTTGCTGGCCTCGTAAAGTTATTAAAGACATCGTTAAAATAGTCCAAGTGACTACAGGGGCTCAATCTTAAGTTTATCAAACGATGAGAACACTTTTTGTGCGCAAAACGATCATAATTAACGACTTTTCAACTATTAATTTCCTTCTCTTTGCGCCTCTAGTCAATTAAACTAGTGTGATAGTGTAGACGTCTGGTCGTGTGTGATGCGTGTGACGTACAACAACAGATCATACGCTGTTAAACTAGTAACCTGACTCGAGGGCTGATGAATAGTTGAAATAAAGTCGCTATTTTTGTGGTTTTTTGCACACAAAAAGTGTTCTCGTCGTTTGATAAAGTTAAAGGGATACTCCACTTTTTTTGGAAATAGGCTCATTTTACCATTCCCCCAGAGTTAAACAGTTGAGTTTTACCGTTTTCGAATCCATTTAGTCGATTTTCTGGTATTTAGAAGAATATCAGTAACCAGACAGGTTCTGGTCTCATTGACTTCCATAGTAGGACAAAAATATACTGTCTGGTTACTGATATTCTATTAAATATCAGAAAATCGGCTGAATGGATTCGAAAACGGTAAAACTCAACTGTTCAACTCTGGGGGAGTTGTAAAATGAGCCTATTTCCAAAAAAAAGTGGAGTATCCCTTTAAGATTGAGCCACTGTAGTCACTTGGACTATTTTAACGATGTCTTTAATAAGTTTTCGAGGCCGGCAAGTTTCAATCCCTCAAGAAGCCTATGGACTAGTATGGAGGAGTGATCCAGCTCTCAGATTTCATCAAAAATATCTTATGCCTGGTTCAGATTAAACGATTTTTTTGTCTGTTACGATAGTCACTGTGTCAGATTATGCGATTTTGATTCCTAAAATCGTGTCGTGGACACTTATGTCAGATTACAGTCAGACTTGCTTCCTGGCCAGTCATCGCATCATACCGTCTTTAACGGCACAGAAACGAATGTAAACAAACAATGGATGAAGCGGTGAATGTTGTATTGGCTGTCCTGTGTTCAGAAAAAAGTAAAAAAGAAAGACAACCTGACAATGGACACGTTCCTGGATTGCTCGAAGTATGGGCTGTGACTGTCAATTCTCCAAAGAGAACTTGAGGGAAAATATTGTTTTCTTATATATTTTTACTTTTAGTTTTAACGTTAGCACCGTCGTCTCAATTTTGTTTCGCCATTTTTGATAGTAGTGTACGGAAAAGCTTCTGTGCTCCTATTGGTCAACCTCATACATCTGACGGAACCATCGTGGACGACCGTTAAAAATTAAAATTAAACATGCTAGTCTTTTTGTCGTGATGTCGGGAAGCATCGCAGACGCGACGTAGGTTGTCGCCCACAATGACACACTATACGAGATGATACAATCGAATCTTGCGTACCGACGCCCGTTGTCGTTTGCGAATCCCCACGACACCCTACGTCAAACAGATCGTGCCAAAATCAGGCTAAAATCGTGTAATCTGAACCAGGCGTTAATTTGTGTTCCAAATATGAACGAAGGTCTTACGGGGTTGGAACAACATGAGGGTGAGTAAATACTGACAGAATTTTCATTTTTGGGTGAACTAACCCTTTAAGAAGTCAGTCACCATTTATAATGTCATGTACACCAATAAGTATAAATACTTAAACTTTTTATTAATACTTTTTTTGGTTCAGAATGAATTATGTTTATAAATAATAGTATAATCAATAGTTCAAGATTGGAAGACATTTTGGAAGAGCCTGCGGATAATTTATATATATATGAAGAGTTCAGATGCAAAAGCCTCTAAGTGCCATTTGAAATTTTCTTCTAGAATGATCATTTTTATCAAGCTTGTATATTTAAGTTCAGTGATTTCACTTAAATGGCAATGATAATTACCTATTAATTGTTATTTAAGTGAAATTACTGAACTTAAATATACAAGTTTGATAAAAATCATCATTAAAGAAGAAAATTTCAAATGGCATTTAGAGGCTTTTGCATCTGAACTCTTCATATATATCATCATCATAGATAACTATGTTTTGGAAGAGTTTTGGGGGTGGTGGACACCTGTGATGATGGTAGGCTCGTGGCCCGATAGAGCAGATGGTGAACAGAGCGAAGGAGAACGCAGGAAAGGACCAGCTGGCCACAGCGTATCCACACCATTCAATGATCTCCCCGAAGAAGTTTGCGCCGGACACCAACTCAAACATTCCTCCTAAAGATAACACAATGCACATATTTAGTGTACACTGTAAGATAACGAAATAAGGAGGTTCAGTCCCGCTCAGATAAATCTCACAAAAGCTTTTTAGAGTATTTTTTTGTGATTCTTTTTAGACCATGAAGAAAAAAAATATGAATTGTCTTTACGCTAAAATTTATATTGGTTACACTTTATTTTAAGATGTCCATGTTATAGTGGAATTATTCATTTAAGTACTGAGTAATACATGTACATACTATAGGATTAGGGTTTGGTTAAGGATTAGTTGCATGTAATTATTCCTAATTTATAATTATTACTATAGTAAATGCATGTAACATGTAAAAAGGCACATTAAAATAGTGTATAGTATAGTAATGTATTTATACCTACCAATACACACATATACAATATAATATATGCACACATTTATATTATATGTTTGTATATTATAGCCTATGTAATTTTATACTATATAATAAAAATAGTGGATATAATTTTACAATTATATTTCTACTCTATATATATATATATATATATATATATATATATATATATATATATATATATATGCATGACTCTATATTTATTTAAATAAGAAATCATTTATTAATTTATAACTGTATTTTGAATTATTTAACATATATATATATATATACATTACTATATTTATTTTATATTTATAATATATTTATATTTATTTATAGGCTATTTATAATATAATTTATTAATTTTAAATTATAACAAATTTATATATATTTTATATAATAATTTATTTTATAATTATATTCTATTATATATCATTTTATATAATAGATTATATATATATAATATTACACAATTATAAATATTATAATATTATATATAGCTCATCCAATTAAGTTTTAAAGTAAATAAAAAAATATTAATTTAATAAATTATTTTATAACTATATTATGTTATATATTATTTTATATAATAGATATATATATATATATATATATATATATATATATTATACAATTATAAATATTATTATTATATTATATAACTCATCTAATTAAGTTTTATTTACTTTTAATATATTTTTTTCTTTTCCTTTTTTTGTACATTTCCTCACATAATTATTCATCAATCATAATTTCAGACACTGACCTGTAGGGATTTTATAGCTGAGCTCTCCTGGTTTCCTCAGGTTTCGTAAAATATAGTCGCTGTGGATGTTGATGGCCATTCCCGAGAAAAACATCAACACACCTGGAAGGAACATTCATTTCAATTGAGTGTTTTTATGATGTATTATAACCAATGAAACAGCAGCAATAATTGATTCCATTCACATGAATCACGCAGTTGATCAAAACGATCGATTGAGGTGTGAGTGTGACAGGTTTGGGTTTGAGCTGGGTTAAAGGAACGGTCAACAGTGTAATTATAAGACCTAATTGCACACATGTATTTTTATAAAAACATATATATGTTTTTTAAATCATGCATGTTCACAATAAAAGCTTTGAATTAAAAGACTAATTGAAACATTAGCACATAGTAGTTAAAGATCTATTAATAGCACCATGTACCAGTTATGAAGCGTGTGTCCCTGTGCCATTCGGTGTGGTACTGAGTGCAGTGGAGCATGTAGTGACCTTGGAGAAAGCCATTCACAGAGCAGAAGATGACCGCACTCAACACAATGTAGAGAGGAGACGGCCTGCCTTTGGTCAGTAAGGAAAACACAAAGGTCCTGCAGAACAGTAAAGAGTGTGTGAGCAAACAGTCGCAGCAAAAGTTATTTTCTTTCTTTCAGCTGATGATATGTGACCGTATCATGCTGTATCAGCACAGACTTACAGGATAAGTAAACAGATAAGTCATATGTTTAGAGATTTGATAAGCGTTTCTGTAAAGAAATGTGGTTAAAAATATATATGTGGGCACTGCAGTAAGCATGAGAGCACAGTCCTGTTTAACTGAATGCATTCATGTTAAATTGAAAGCAAGTGCAAACCTGTTAAACTTAAAATGTGTCTGGATCATGTTTCAGTAACATACTGGAGTTTGAGCACTAAAACATGACAACAATGGTATCTTAAAGGAGTAGTTCACTTTAAAAAAAAACTTTTGCTGATAATTTACTCACCCTCATGTCATCCAAGATGTCCACATCTTTCTTAAGTGGAAAAGAAATGAAGGTTTTTGATGAAAACATTCCAGGATTTTTCTCCATATAATGGACTTCAATGGGAACCAAACGGTTCAAGGTCCAAATGAGCGAATCTTTTTTCAAATCTTTTCAACGAACGAAATGACTCGAAAAAAAGATTTGTTCACTTTGATGAACGAGTTCGAACAGGAGAGTCACGAACGCGCATCACAGA